AAAAACTGAGTCATTGATACCCAAATTAATCTCACGGTTCAATTTAACCTAGATTAAATAAAATATAAATTAGATGCTATTTTGATGTGGGTAGGACGTAGCAAAATAACATAACTAGGTAGCTCTTTCCCCTCTTTTAAGAAAGTTACCTTTAAATTAAAAAAAATCAATCTGAATATTTATTTTTCATTTTTGCAAAATGTATTTTGTTTTCAAAATCCCTTTAGGAATTTTCTATAGGTCTCAAAGCAGTATTCAGATATACAAACAATGTGTATATGGGCATACTGTATATGTATAAATTACTTTGCCCAAATCGCCAAGATCAGTAGTGTCAATGCATATGCTTGATAATCTGATTTGAGTCCCAACTCAAAAAGAGTTACCCCGACAAAAAGTGAGTCAATCTAATCCTTATTGAAATGTTCTCTTCTTCTAGATAAGAAGGTTGCCCTACCTTGGTTTTTTCTTTGTTCTTGTTAAATGTGTGGTTTGTATAAGCCAAAGTCCATTCCAAAGTTCATGTAGTTCACTGGAAACAACAATGACCCTATGAATGAAATGAGATAGTAACTCAGTGAATATCAGATGCTAAAAGAGTCACCTTTAACAAAGTATTTGCTAAACTGCTTCTCGTTATTCATTTTAAAAGGATCTTCGATTCTAATCATGACAAATGCTTTCTTAATATTAGAATTGAAATAATTGATCTACTGCAGAATTATATCCAACAGATATTTGCAGATCAATTTAGAAGACTAGATTGTTTTTGTCCGAGCAGTAAAATTGCACCACATGACTTGGACCAGAGAGTTAAAGTTTAGCAACCAACTATACTTTGGGTTTGTCCCATTGCCAGCTCTCTAGAATAAGACAATGGTTTTAGGGTAGACAATTTTCAGAGTTTTGAAATAAAGTTGAGATTACTATGTTTGGAAAAAACAAAATCTTGTGAATGTATGTCTTAAGGGGTGGGGGGAATTCTATTATCCCTGAGGGCCAAACAGGGGAACTTCCAGTTATGAATAGACCAGAAGTCAAAATGGCATAAATTCACCAACCAATGCTTTTAAGCAGAGAAAAAGGCTGTGTTTTTCTTGGGGAAGTGGAAGAAAATGTCTTTTTGTACTGCTAGGTGTCATGTCTTACTGGGTTATGCTTTGAATTTGTGATGTATCTCATTTGTCCTCACAACAAATCCATGTGAGTATTAAATAATATGCAAGTGAGAAAGAAAACCATACACTGAGTCCAGAGTGGAGTTCAGAGCATTAAGATCACATTTTGTGGTTGGTGCTATGGTGAACCAATACATATATTGGTTTGATTTGTGGCAAAGTAAAATATTTCAAATGCGTACAAGGAAGTGAAAGAGATGTTTCTCTACTGCTGCTATTTTTCCACTATTAGATAGCTTCTCCTTTCATGCAGAACAAAGGTAAGATGTAACCGACTCAGTTAGACATCTATGTAAAGTAAATTTCAGGGCAATCTAGCATGTTCTAGAATCCTCTGCTACATACAAAGGATTCAATTATGAAAAGAGCTTTTTCAACCATTTGGGCAATATGGGAAGAATTGCCAAAGGGTGAAAATTTGAAATTGCCTAAAATTTAGACCATTCTTTTGCTAGAAATATATATGTAGTCACTATATCAGTATGAGGACTTACCCCAGGGCCCATGATATGGTTGCTTATAACTGAATCATGAACTGTGGAAAACACATTCTCTTTGTGAATTTCAGCAATGTTAACTTCAGCTGTCAACGTGTGGCCTAAATGACTCAAAAATATCTATACACGTCTTTCTTTTGTGATAAATAGCACTTCTAGTTATTGACATTTTGCAGAATTGTGTACTGTATTAATTCTCTGTAGCTATATTCTTCCATTTTTTTTCTCCCAGAAATACTATGAGAAGAAGGTATAAGAAAAACTGAAAGCTCCTCTTGGCCCTTTGACTTCTAGAACAAAGCATGCACAAAAAGTTGTATCTGAATATAAAATCTGTCAGCAGGTGTGAGAGAGCAATCAATTCTCCTAGTTCAAAAGCTGGTACCTTGCCAACCTGAGATGGCTTCACCTGCAAAGTGGAAGAAGATGAATCAATAAATGAAAGAAATCTATCTTATATAAAATAAAATCTAACACAAATACAGGCTAACCCTCTCAGTCCTGAAAGTCATAGACTGAATTTTGAAAATCAGTCATGTCTTTCTGCTCTTAATGGATGGTGTACTTGTAAAAAATATATGTGTTGATTTTGAAAAGAAATGTTCCAATCTTTAAAAGAAAAATAACTCAATACATTGCATTCATTACCATCCTGTGGCTTCTTGGACACCAGAAATAGCTTGCTAGATAGACAAGCACAAAAACCAATACCACGTAGTTCTGTCTCTTTTCTTTTTAGAATAGTTTTTGTTGTATCACGTCTTGGAGGCTATCGATATTTGCTAGACGAGGACCCAAGTTTACATTGCAAACTGGTCATTTTTACACTAAAGGAAATCCCACTTTGATCAATGGGGGGTGACATCCAAGAAAGAATGGATAAAACTATTCCCTTGGAATTGGGACAAAGTAAAATTGTTTAGTATCAGTGGCAATATTTCCACAAAGTCAACACAACCCTCACAATTATTGGAAGAAAAGAATCTGTTGGTTCCCTGGTGGTCTCTGAGCCTAGTGGTTTTCTTACAGATGTTTCATTACCCAACTAAGTAACATCATCAGTCAGCACTGATGAGGTTACCTAGCTGGATGATGAAATGTCTGCAAGAAAACCACTAAGCTCAGAGAGCACCACGGATCCCACAGTTCAACCCCTGAGCTACAAATATTCTCGTCTGTCAGAAAAGCATCTGTTTTCATTGATTGACTGTATTTCTTGCTTACCTGGGCATTATGTAACAGTCTTCTAGTTTGCTGTCCAGTATGTTCAGATCCCTGAAACAGTGAGACAGAATATTCAGTGTGACAGATGCCAACCTAACCAAGCCCACATCAATAAACACAGCTGAATCAACAGAGAAAATGCATGTTTGAGAGACTAGTCAAGAAAGTTAGCATGCAACTCCAGCTGCAAAAAATCTTATATGGGCTTACAAATTGAACAGCCACCAGCTTTTCTCATCAAAAAAGTAAACCAATTACATTGACAAAAAGCCACTGGAAATAAAAAAATTGCATTTAAGATTGCCTATGATAAAATTCTTCCTTTTTGTCATAGAAATGTAGGTTATATATTCACTGTTAGCAAGAGTTGCATTACTATTATTGTTAATTTTAGTTCTGTTTATTGCCTCAAGGGTTATATATTGTAACATAATTTTGTTGCCACTAGTTAATGTTAATTAGATGTTTTAATAGCCTATAATACCTATTTGTTAAGTTTTGGCAGGTTTACTTTTTTAACTATCAGTAACTTAATCACTTGGAATATTTAACATTGCTGTTGCATACTCAAAATTACAGTTACTATTATTGTTACCTGTTTAACGTTTAGTCATCCTTTGAGTCCTGCGACATATTTCGTTAATAATCATCAGCCATCAAGTCTGATATTCTCAAAAGAAATAACAGCCCTCTATAAACTGCCTTCAAGGGAGGTGATAATTAGCACTGAAAATTACAAATAGAGTTTTTGAAGTTGAATAGCAACAACTGGGCAGTGACACTGATGATTGGACTGTCAAGACAAGTTATTAGAGAACTCCGCAAATGCAGCCGACACACTCCTCAGAGTGAAAACAAGAAGGTGAGTCTATGCAATGCTTACATGTTGAATGGGATATTTAATGTATGGGGAAACTCAGCGGTTGAAGATCTAGCATTTAGACAGTCTAACACTGGTAAGCAATAATCTTACCTCTTTAAACTCCATTACATTCTCACGAGAGACAGGCTAATACAAACGAATCAATCAGAGTGTGTGTTTAGCAAGATCAAACTTAAGAGGAGAGTTTAAAAATCCATTTATTCTTCTAAAGCCACGACTTTTTTCCCCATTAACATGTTATATACATTAGTGTCTTCTAGTCATGAGTCATGTCACAGTTTAGTTGGTTAGCTTTTAAATTATTTAACAACCATAAGTTATTAATACAATTTTTTTAAAGTCTTGCACATCGTCTTAAAACAAACTTGGGTTCATTTATATATAGATTTTGTTTTTGTAAAAGAAAGGGTTTATATAAAAAACATATTTAGGCATCTCTTGAAGAAGAAATCAAGCAGGCATTTAAAGCTAAACACACGTAATTCCAAATTTAGTTTGTTACAAAAGTTTTCAGCTTTATTGACAAGTTATGGCAAACATATTTGACAAAATTATGTTTCCTATTTAGAGAAGCTTACACATGGAACTTTATGTGATTTAAAAAATAATAATAAAAAACAAAACAAATACAGATTAAAACACTGGACAATTTCAGTTAGCTACATCCATACAGTAGCAGCTTGTTGTCAACCCCGTTAAAACAGCATTTAAAATGAAATTTACAAACTTAATATTAAGCATTTTAAATCTAACTAACATATATTAAAAGACAGGTTAAAACAGCTTATCTACATCTCGATTATCATCTGCTTCAAAAAAGGTCATATTACATTTTTGTTAGCAACCCTAAATAAAAACTCAACCTTAGTGTGGGGACAGGGTGTAAGAGATGCAGCTTCATGCTTCTTTTTTTTTGTTTTTTTTTCCTGTTTTGCTTTAAAATTACACACAACAGTGAGGAGGAAAAACCAAGACAACATCATCTTGCTGAAAGGTTTAGTCAACAACTGCCAACAGTCTTTTAAAGTCCATGTCCTAAAAATAATACTAATGCCAGTTTCACTCCATTCTGGAAACATAAGTAGTATACAGGTAATCATAAGCAGTAATTCCTAGGATAGAAAAAAATGGGCTATTACTTGTCTTGTTGCCATTTACGTGGAGACCACGGGTTCTTAATTGTCTTTAAGTTGAGGTCACAGATGTGGAGAATATCTTTCAATATCTACCATAGGGATGTTCCCTGTAACTCCCCCTGGTTGACCTGGGAGTTGGAGCTTTTAGGCTGGGACGACTTATGGTCCATTCTTCTTGAGCTGAAACAGACAAAATGAAGAAGAAATTGCTTTATTTTGGTAGACATGGACATGGGGATCTGATCAAGCTAATAATGCATCAAGTATTAGAATACGAAGCCAGCAGTACTGTCTCAGATCCAACTGCTAAAAAAAAGAAAGCTCTCAGTGAGGACCGAAAACTCTCTTTCTTCCAATTTGCAGCACATGTAAACAATCAATGTTTCAGCAAAATCAGCCCTGGGAGAAAAGAAAAACCCACCACTCTTCGATTTTTGCCTGCTGCGAACTTATTTCATACCTGAATTTCTAATATGGTCTGAATAACTGGATCAGGAATTGAGTCAGAAGGGAGGAAGTGAAAGATGAATGATTATCTGTTTTCCCATTTAACTTAAAAAGCACGGTGGAAATGATGGGAAACTTAGATAATATTAAAGTGGGCTTTCCAATACAAGCAGGTAATTCTGGGGACACACAAAAGTCTATTAAGAGAGAGGGAGGGAGGGAGAGAGGGAGAGAGAGAGAGAGAGATTGCTATAGGTTATACTACAATGACAATAGACTGGTATTAGCTCTGAGTGATGTTACTGTTGTGATTTTACTAGCGCCCATTTTTCTCTATCTTATCATATACAGACAATCAACAATTTACAACCATTTGTTTCCGGATTGGTTGAAGTTACAATGGCACTGAAAAAGGTGATTCATGATCGTTTGTTACATTTAACACCTGTTGCAGCATTCCATTGGTCACAAATTGATCAAAATTTGAACGGTTGGCAACTGGCATGTATTTACGATGGTCACAGTGCCTGGGGGGGTGGGGTGTCATGTGATCCCTTTTTGTGACTTTCTGACAAGCAAAGTGAATGGAGAAGCCAGATTCACTTAACAACCATGTGACTAACTTAAGAACTGCAGGTGGCAAGAAAGATAATAAAATGGGGCAAAACTCACTTAGCAACTTATTAGCTGAATGATTTCCAAGCAGTATTGGTTCAATAAATATGCCTCTTCTACACTCGCATAACATTGTTAAATCACTGTGAGGAGTAAAATAACAACTAATTTCATCCTAGAAATACATTAAATACATTAATAGGGGGCAGTACAGACCTAATTTATGGCTCTGCATAGAAAAGATAGTGTTTAGATAAACTATATCCAATTAAACATAATAATCTGAAATATTAATTTATGCTGAACGTAATTTCTCAACAGAGAATAACAATGTTCTGTGATATTGCTTGCAAAATATTAGCATAATTTTTCATTCTTAAATAGTTTTATTAAAAAGAACTGGAGCATAGACATCTAATTTTCTTATATTTTAAAAACAGTTACTTAAAAATACTATTATTATTATTATTATTATTATTATTATTATTATTATTATTATTATAATTATTATAATTATAATTATTATTATTATTATTATTATTATTATTATTATTATTATTATTATTATTATTATTATTACTATTATTACTATTACTATTACTATTATCATCATCATCATCATATCATCATCATCATCATCCTGATTTACTATGGCCTCTCACGCTGAAAAATTCTTGGTGGCTTACAACATCCACATATACAATTAAAACAATTTAAAATGAAATGTTTTAGAAACTGCATAGGAAAGCAAGGCTTCTTATATTAATGGACCATTTGTTTGTTGAGAAAAATCTGCAATCCATCATCTCTGTCAGATTCTTTGGTCTATACCCTGACGCCATTCCTTGCCTAGTTATGACTGAATGTAATAGGATATGCTTCTGATTAAACATACTTAGCACTATGCTTGAATGGCTATTGCTATTTATAGAATTTGCAGTGTAATTTTATATACAGAAGTAACTCCCCTGAATAAAGCAAGATTTTCTGGCAGGTAAATACAAGGGACTACAGTCTTAATTACTTATATAGCAGTTCTGTTGATTAAAACACATTAAGAATATGGTAGGCTTAGCTGAGTTTTTCTAGAGGCCAGTTTTTAACTACTGAAAGGATTTGTGATTGTTTTTCATCCCTTTCCTCCATCCCATTCCTAAGCTTTGTATTTGAAGCTAGAATTCCAAGTACCTTGAAATATACTCCAAATATACATTGTTGCCTAATTTATATCTTGACCCCACTTGCTTCCTAGTTCGTTTACACAGGTACACAACTTAGATCACTGCTTTGATTCTTATGAGAATGAAGTTAAATAGGCAAAGATGCATCATTTACCATTTTAGCTTCCTAATCAAAATCTATTCTACTTATATCATGCTGTTTATTTATTAGACTTTTATCCTGCCTTTATTATTTTTATAAATCACTGACAATGGCAAACATGCCTAATACTTTTTCCTCCTCCTATTTTCCCTCCACAACAACATCCCTTGAGAGGTAAGTTGGGCTGAGAGAGAGTGGCTTGTCCAAAGTCACCCAGCTGGCTTTCATGTCATGTGACTGGGAATTCTGGGAGTTGAAGTCCACAAGTCTTAAGCTTGCCAAGTTTGAAGACCCTTGAAGTAGAGGATGGCCACATTTGCTTTCTTTCCAATAGCCAAACTGCATCATTCCTAGCAGCATCCAAGACTTCCACCGAAGGGATGACCTTACAATGCATGTATAGAAGGGTGGAACTGATGTTGTAATATCATGGTGCCTCTTTTATCATTTGGGAGTCTCATCATGGTTGATGATGCCTCTGATCAGCACTGTTTCTAGTTTTTAGCACTTCTTGGACAGACCATGGGATTTGCAAGAAAGTAAACGCGGGCGCAAAGAGCCCTACGTTGTTGTGAGGTGGACTATAATTTTGCTGTAAAAAGACAAAACCAAGAATCCAGAAGCTTTATCCAGTCTCAAAATGAAAAACAATGAAATGCATCAGTCAGTTTATGTCTGGATAGTTTATTAAAAAATCCAGACACAAATCTGTCAGGATAGAGTTCTGCCTTGTAAAGAGAACCTTAAATTGGACTGGATTTAATTTCTCTGCATATCCTTTTTTCCCTTCACAGAAGTTTCTTTTCTTCAGGCGATTGCTCTTTCAAAGGAGATCACAACTTTCTTTGTCACAGAAAAAGATATGACAGGAAGATGTTTTGGGGGAGTAGCAGTTGCTTCTTTTGAAGAACTTCCTATGCAGAACTTGAAATGTGTGAGGCGTGCTGAAGTGTTATTTTGAATAAATTATTTTTTCTAGTATTGCTTGGGATCTGTTTGACCTGAACATTCATTCCTCCCCCTTCGTCTGATTCCAAATGCAGAAAATTAGACTTGTCATATGCCCAGAGTTACCGACAGGATGCGAAAGATGACAAGCTCTGTTGTAGGAGGATGAAAGCATAACATGTTCTATTCCTCAATGCTGGGGTAATTTTGGAGAAAAAGGAAAAGATATATGCTTTAAAAGCTGCAGAAATCCAATCTACGCACTTCTCCCCCTTCGTGCAATTATTATTTTTTATTACATTTCTTTATAGAACTTTAAAAAGTGAAGAAAATGGCAACCAATGTTAATAAGGAATTGGACCAATTCCTCTTCAGGAAAGATTTTAACTTGGGAACAATATCGGTTAAGAGAAAGGCAACAGAACCAGGGTATTCAGGACCCTAATGTGAAGCTGTCAAAGATTCAGGAAAGATGAATAAGAGAATAACAGAGTTGGAAGCAATGGTGGGCTGCTACTGGTTCAGACCGGCTCATCTGTATTGGTAGTTACGACCACTGGCTGGACCCGCCCACCCAGGCCGGTGCTATCCCATCCTATACATCTCAAATTTTTGCTTGCTCACGCAACCCAGCTGATTTCTGCGCCTCACCCGCTCTACTCACCATGGCTGCTTCGTGCAGGAAATCCCTGTGTTTTTGCAGATGTGTGCAAGCACGGATACTGCGTGCGCACATGCTCACATTTTCAGTTCTGCACTAGGCGAACTGGTTGTTACATTATGTGCAGCCCACCTCTGATTGGAAGGGATCTTGGCTGTCTTCTAATCCAACCCTCTGCTTAAGCAGGAGACCCTATATAATTCCAGACAAATAGTTGTCCAATCTCTTCTTAAGTACGGTACTTCCAGTGAGGGAATACCCACAACTTCTGACAGTGGATTAATTCCACTGAGTAATTGTTCTGTCAGGAAAGTTCTCTTTAGTTCTAGGTTGGGTCTCTCCTTGATAAGTTTCTATCCATTGCTTCTTGTTCTGCCTTCAGGTGCTTTGGAGAGTAGGTGAAAGGAACTACAGGTTAACCTCACTTAGTGATCTTAGTGAGGACAACCTGTAGTTCCTTTAATCTACTCTCCAAAGCACCTAAAGGCACTATTGTAACTTAGTGAACAGTTTGAGGGATGATTCAGCTCTCTGAGCACATTGCCTTTTTGTACTGTTTTTTTTTTTGCAAGCATATTATAATGCTGCCCATATATACAATCCATGCTGCTCTTTTCTGTAACAAACTGCCATTTCCTTTAAACTTCTTTCCCTCCTTTCCTCTGATAATGAGATTTCCTCCGTTTCTACTTGGCTTTACCACAGTTTGATCCTTTTTGTCTTATCAGGCATCTTTACTGATAAAAAAAAATGTCATTTGGTTATTTTTATCATAAATTTCTAACTAAAGGGGGCAAGAATGGGAAATCCTGCAGACACTGCCAAACCATAATTCCTAGCAGCCCCTCAGCATGGTCATTGCTGAAGCAGGTTGGCATAATCTCCTGCATGGATTAGCTCCCCCCAAAATTGACTCACCATTGAAGAGAACCTTAGAAGAGAAAGGTTGCTCTGTCTCTGCTGGTAAGCTATATAATAGTTATTGGTGCTTATTGCTTTGAATAAAACTCCAAAGTGCATTGTGATGCTGTCTTCTGAAACCTTGTTACCTATCCCAATTAACTAATAGGATGTAACTGAACATAAATCCAAAAATGAGATTTTTGGATACAGAAATAACACTTTTGGTTGGAACTACTTGGGTTAACTGAAACAATGTTTTACCCTATGTTGTACAGTTGGTATA